TGATGATCAAGTGCTCGTTCGTATCGCGGATTAGTTGGTATTCGGATGTTTGGTGCAGATTTTATTAAATTATTTTGGTGTTTTGTTCAAACAAAGGTATCTCTATCAGTGTAGCTTCTACATAAATTCAATCAATTCTAAGATTATCAACAATTTGGATAACGCGTGATATTTGAACAATAAATATGGTGAAATTGTGAATTGAATTGAATTGAAATATCAATGTGATGAAAACTTCGACACTCCATTTTATTCAAAACTTGAAAACTAAAAACGGATTTATTCGCTCTTTCTGCGGGGGAGGGACCGAAAGAGAAACTCTATCGAATGCGTAAAGTCATTTCGAAATCGGCGTCTGACATCTTCAATAATTTACTGGTAACCATACTCGATTGATCTAACACATTTTAAAGAATTCAAAGTGGAAAAACTACCCATCTCTTGGCATATATTATGGACAAAAACCACTGTAGGTTTGGATTGAAATATGAAATATCAGCAAAGGAGTAAAGCGTAGCAACTACGCATACCACTACGTTAAGATAATTACTAAACGTAGTGCTACGCGTACTCGTAACGTTTCGTCATTATGGATGATAAGAGAATTATCAATTAAATTAAATGATCAAGATAAATTCATGATTAAAATGTATCATTTATCAAATTATAAAACCAAAACAAACCGTTTTTTTACCCAATTCATATAAAAATCTAATCAAAATAGAATATAATCAAAAGAAATTTGTACCAGTCCCTCATCTGTCGTTGCAAAATGTACGTTTATCTCTTCTTCCAGTTCCGTCAACGAGTAAAATTGACATTTTTATTGCCATTTTCAATAAGTCAATGCCTGTAACTCACCTGGTTCAGTCTAGAGGGACAGAACAGAATAAATATCTGCAATTGAAATATTGTGTATTCATTCTGCCAATCGTACTGAAAATTTTCTAAGACTCAGTTCGTTTTTAACACCGTCTGTTTTGCTTCAGTTCTAAATTGATGCCTACATATTTTCTAGCAAAAATATTCCACACACAAGCATAACACTCGATCGTCCGTGAAGATGTGGTTGACTTTCGCTCTCTTCGGATTATTATTTTTGAGCATAACTACAAAAGTTCATGGATTTCCTTGTGATTTCGCCGATTCGATTAACATCAATGACGGAGAATTGCAGTCGAATAACAGCATCATATTCAACGGTATCGAATATCCGCCGAATCAATATTTTCGCCACATAGATGGAATTGAACGTGAATTGCGTGGATGCATTTGCAACATCAGAAACTGTATTCGACTTTGCTGTCCACACGGATCATTTACAATAAGCATGAAAAAGGAAGAGGTGAAATGCGAACAAAACGAAAAAGCACGGAATTTCCAGGCCGAGGTGAGCGATGAAAATGGTCAAACAAAAATTCAAAATTTAGATCAGCATTTCGGATACGTCGATCGTATTTGCAAAGTGCATTACAGGCCGGAGCCGGAAGACTTTATCATTACACATGTAAGCATACCGAGAACATGACGTATTTGAAACGTCTAACTCCATCTACGGATTTTTCCAGCAGTTGTGTTCTATTGAGTTGCGGTTTCAACTATTTTTGGGCGAAATTATCTCAAAAGTATGCTAAAATGAGTTATTTGTCATGCGAACGCTCAAACGACTACTGTTAATGTACGCACTGATTCAGTAGACATGCAATGGTTACTAGATGACAAATTTACAATACACTCGAGTGCGTGTATTTGCGCGTACATTTCCGGTAGCCGTTTGAGTGTTCGCATAACAAATAACTCATTTTTGTATATTTTCGAGATAATTTCGCCCAAAAATAGTTGAAATCGTTATACGTCTACTCGATTCACAACTACTGGAAAAATCCGTAGATGGAGTTAGACGCCCGTACCAAATATAATGTATTGAAACTCCATATACATGCTCGGAGTATGCATGTAAGAAGTGATCATGCTTGACTTGAAAGATCAACATCAAATTATAACTCAATGAAGAAATAATTTATGCACTCAATTCAAGACAGGAGACGTTCTGGCAGAAAATCAAACATACAACCATCGCGAATACTGCATCAAAATCTCATCCAACGAAACGAAAGGAATCTATTTAGAGGCAAAAATATGCTTGCCAAACGATGAGATAAAAGATCCTTCACCTATGCTCGCAAGTTTTTCCTATTTACCTTACGGTAAGTATTGGCGCACAAATGAATGTAAAATATTGGATACTATACTAATACGGATATATTTTTTTCAGTGCTATACACATCGATTCCATGCATAGTCGTCACATATATCATCTACTTTGGCATATCCGAGCTGCGTAATTTGCATGGCAGATACTTCCTCTGCTACTTATTTTGTATGATGCTCATGTACATTTTATTAGCTTTTGAGCAACTCACTCGCAAGTTTCACGTTGATACGGTCACGCGTAAAAAACGCGCCTCAATGTTATACTTTGCAACCTTCTCGGCTTTTCTGTGGTTAAATGTGATCAGTTTCGATTTGTGGTCAAGCTTTCGGTAAAACATTTATTCTCTTTCAAATAAACTCATTTTAAACATTCCGTTCTCCATTAGATCCACCATCAGGGTCAAACCATATTCAGAAAGAAAGAAGTTCATATTGTACGGTGTGTATGCTTTTGGTGGGTCGTTGCTTGTGAATATTGTCGGCCATACAATGGATGCAATCGATGGGCTTCCAGATTATCTAAAGCCAGGCATTGGAAAAACTTCGCTCCATCTCAAAGGTTAGTCATCAAAAGCTCTTTGTGAACTCGATCTGGCCAACAAATTGACTGGCTAGCTTTTGTATTGCCGGAACAGTGTTTCTTATTTACCAAACATAAAATTTCATTGCAGAAAATTTTACATCACGATTAATTTACTACTACGGTCCACTTTGTATTATTTTCATAGTGAATCTTGTGTTTACGATTCTGACCGCATTGAAAATTTATCAAATTCGGTTGGATTTGAAAAAAATGACATTGCAAGTCAAACGTAACGAACTTCGAAAAGGACTACAACACCAAAAGAATAGGTGAAATTGAACCCTAAATGAAAATTATCCAATCTCTTTTTCGCTCTTTCTCTTTCAGTTATCTATTGTACGTACGATTGTTCATCGTAACTGAGGTTATCTGGATCGCAGATGCAGTTTGGTTTCTCTCGAATAATAATCTTGTTTTATCCGTGATGGATATTCTCTATTGTGCACAAGGAATAATCATTTTCGTATTATTCGTATTGAACATTCGAGTTTTACGTTTAATAAAGAAGAGGTTTGTGCGCGTCATCTACAAACAATGAATTCAGATAAAGACCTTACTCTCTCTCTCTATCTCATTTCAGTTGGAAAACTTATTCACCAGTAATAGCAACGACTTCCAATTAGATGTATACAACACTTGATACAACATCTATACCACAACAAAAAAAAATGTTCCAAATCGGATGCAACGTTTTTAATGAACATAATTCCCACTAATTTGCTACTAATAAACTACGTCCACTATGACATGTTCCAAAATCTTTCATATGCGACTTTTATGTCACTAAGTAAATATTGGAAACACTAATATGATACTAAATTTGTTCCGTGCCATGTATTTGCCACGGATATGGAACCAAAACTTTTGTGGCAAATGGAATTCGGTGTTATTAATGATTTGGACAAACATTTTACTGATCAAAGTGTAAGAACAAACACCAATCCATCTACAGAAACAAAACTTTAAACAGATACAATAACCAAAGGGGAAAGTTTCCTCTCACAAAGGCAATATACACGTACTTTAACCTATTTCAAAATAAACATGTGTCGTTCGTTTTTCTTGGATTGGACCGTCTATATTGACTTTGTGAGGTCAAACTTGTATCTTTTTTGATCTTTTCTGTTAGCATAACCAAAGATAAAAAGTTATACAAAAATAACTCATATCTATTTGAATAAAATAAACTAAATTTGAACGGTTTAATATGTTTGTCTTTTTACTGTCTTTAAAGAACCATCCCCATTTTAAAAGTTTTTCTACACTATTTTTTACACACCGTCTCCACTTGCATTTAGTTTCCATTACATTAGATACAATTTGACCGTTGAAATCCAATGGAAGTGGAGAATAGTTGAAAGCTACCGCTTATTCTTTGATATTTTTTCATATCTTGAATCGACGACATTTTCAACAAATTCTTTCACTATTCGTACTAATTTGTTCTCTCTCTCTTTTAGCAAAAAAATAATGACAATCTGCATGATTCATAAAATTCAAAGTATATTCATATGCGTATCCATCTTAACTTGGCAGCTAGAATGATCGGCCATTATGATCTACCACCAGCTACTAAATGACAGCTAATTTGAATTGATGAAGTCGTGTTCTCAAAATTAATGCGTAGCTTGTAAATAAAAATGTTGTTTGTTAGTCTGAATTCATTGATTATAATCAATTTTAATAAAAGTTATGCCCTGCACTCTGGTGCTTTGATTATTTACATTAGTTTACTTCTACAGCAAACGGTGGTATTCGCACTACATTAGACTTTGGTTAGGCACCGGCGGTTTATGAAAAAGGGCCACGAAAAAATTAAATTGGAATTGTTAGAGACCCGTTCTGAATTCTGACATGTGCTCCCGCATTTCAGTTTTCTGAACGCCTTGCTCCCTCAAAAATTCACGAAAATGACCCATGGAGCAAAAGGGACAGCCAAACTTCGATACCGATGTATGGTAGCATCTGTTCCTGACAAATTATTTGAAAGTGTCCAATTTAATAAATCAAAATTTGGGGTTAGCCTCGGCTTTTAAATAACCACTATTCCCGAAACAAAAACGAAATGTTATTGCAATAAATCCGAACAGGGCTTAGCACAATTTGATTTAAATCCTAAAATTATCATGACCTTAAAGACATGTCTTTTGAGTTTCCGAACAAATCGTGATTTAAATGTTTAATGAGCAACAAACATTGACGTTGGAAAATAGGGTTTCTTAACAGACCGTGTATGAGCGTAAGACGTTTGATGCATACGGTAACGCACTAAACGCTTTGGTCTATCAGCATTTTTCTTTTGTTCTATGGAAAGAAAATTTCATTAATTTTTGTATAATTATGATTATTCTGCTTTGTCGAATTGAATTATTCGAATTGAAAGTGCTTAATGATTGAACAACAGACTAAACTTGAATAAAAGGAATGGGATGCATTGACCGAAGATTGAAATCGAACGATAAACTTGATGATTTATACATTCCGGATGATAGAAACAATTAAACGATCAAACACAAATTACAAATATATATTTGCCATTTATTTATTCTCATTCTATACATTCACACAGTACTCACTCATATTTGCATTGGAAAATGAATATTCATAAAATATTGCGGCATTTGTGGGTAATTATTGGGTATTGACGACACATTTGCGAATATTTACAATATTTGTTCTATTTTTTCAACTCCAGTGTCGCTACCTGGAATATCACCACAAATACATTTGCAAACGCGCATTTTATTTGCCAAAATTCGGGAAGTATCAACGAAAAATATTCACATTCGATTTTTGTGCATTGTCCCTGGAAAACAAGGAACACGAATTCGATTGCTTGAAAAAAACAACAATTTTTTTTAGCTTGCGACGTTAGTTTTATTTTCATTTAACAATTCGAAGCGATTTAAAATTCTCACAAACAATTTCATTTCTTATTTTCTTAGTCACGAAAAACGTATTTAAAGTTCTGTAGAAAATGTTTTGGGCCAAATTGAGTTGTATATCAGCAAACATTAACACATCTTTCCCTTCCTTTGTGGAACACCTTACATGGTGGACATTCTTCCACTCCAACATGGTATCCTCCATATTCAATTGAGGCATATTGTACTTTTGGCTTAACCGGTTGACGTCTCCCTAGAATCCAAATAAACGTTGTAATTTATCACGTATATTTGAGGCCTAATTTCAGACCTGTAAGTTGTGTTCCATTGGACTGAGCATCACTTAGGGCACAATCAAAAGCGATCATCAGTGTAATAATGAATAAAATACTCATGATTTTTCTCCCAGACACCATTTTGTTGTCTTGCTTTCAATTAGCTCTCACAAAGTGTCGACACTCCATTTTATTATGTGATGGTATAACCATTTAGCGCACTCAATAATAATGTAACAAATTGGACACGAGTATTTGTAAAAACAAAAGAATTTTCTTATTATTATTAACTTTTTCAATGCAACTCTAGCGAATAGTCGTGATCGACTGACTGACAGTTCCAAACACAGCCCCTATCAGTGCAAACAAGTTTTCAATTAAAATTTCTTAACGATAATGTTGTAAGATACATGGCACATGTCTGAGCGTTGTGCATTATACCACAACAAACTCGTTCGATGCATGCCCAAGATGCAAGCTCAGTCGACTTTTTTTGGTTGTTGATTTCACACAACACGTGTGCAACACGCACAAGCTAATTCATGAAGAAATAGTTGAAACTTGAAATATTGCCAATTTATACGATTTCTTGTCGTGATACAACGATTGTAATACTCGAAACCAACGTGGATACGTTCATTGTTAAATTCAAAGAAGTGAAACGCAGCAACTAACGGACGCGTAGTCGTAACGTTTCGCCACTTTAGTTAAATTACTTGTAAGCCATTGGTGAATTTATGTGTAGTATAGATTCTATACCCCTTTATTCTAAAAAATGCACGATGAAAGTTCTAATTGGCGACGTAAATGATGAATACACAACTTAGCAAGTATTTTTCTAGTTATTCATAAAGTTGAATATTAATTAGTGATATTTCATGTGAACGATGGAATGTATTTATAAAACCGGTTTATTGAGCATATAATGAAATAATCAAAAGGTATTTGTATCAGTCTCTCGACTGTCGTTGCAAAATGTACGTTTATCTTTTCTTCTCGTTCTATTTTATAGAATCTTTAAGTTTTATAAAATATTCATATCAACTAGAGATTCACATTCATAACGGCACGTGTTTCTTTTTGCATATATGCATTTAAGCGTGTGTTGCATTCATTCCAACTGGAATTGCATATATCCAAGTCGACAATGCATGAGCTCAAATCGAGCGGAAATTTGCGTTTGTTTTTTTTCAATCTTCTCTGATTCAAGTTGACGATTAAGTGATTGTTCGTATCGCAGATTAGTTGAAATGCGGATTATTGGTGCAGATTTTTTTAAAATTATTTTGGTATTTTGTTCAAACAAAGGCATCTTCACTACTATAGCTTCTGCATAAAATCAATCAAATTTAAAGTTTGGATATGCGTGATATTTGAACAATAAATCTATGGGTGAGATTGAGAGTAGTGTATGTTTCATTGACTTTGTTACGAAAGAGAAGAGTAAGTTTCTTTCGGCTTAAAATTTTTTAAAGTATAGTATGTATTTTGACTGTTTGTGGCTATGATAAAGGCGAGTATGTTTCATAAACCTTAATTTGCGTTAAACAAGAGTATGTATTTTGTTAGTTTGGAATACCAATAAACAGAAGTATGTTTTTCAGACTTTGGTTGTTGGAAAAGGCGAGTATGTTTGTCCAAATTGGTGAATATTATTAATTTATTTGAATTTAAGTACCAGGCAAACATAATCAATAAAACTAATCATTTGTCGATCTGGCAGCTCCCAATACTTGAATTTAACACATTGGTTTTCGAAAAAGTTTGCATGAATGGTTAAAAATATTATGTTCTTTCGACGAAAAGTATCAGGAGTTTATAATTGTAAGCATTTAAGAGAGAACGTAATCGAGCTCTGCTTATTGTACAGCATCACCATGAACGAGCGGTATACGAGCCAATGTAAAGAGTGAAATAACAAAAACGATAGCGCATGGAAAATAACACAGAAGAAATGTGACAACAAACATTGCGAAATTGCAACGCATCGGACAGAGTGAGAGAGTCTCTTTCACTCACGCACAACAGCAAATATTCACAACACGCTGACACCGACAACCAATATCAACGCAAATCAAAACAATTGATTTGTATTGCTGACATCACTGAGTCGGTGTCAGCGTGTTGTGATTTCGACGATTCGATTAACATCAATGATGGAAAATTACAGTCGAATAAAAGCATCATTTTCAATGGTATCGAATATCCGCCGAATCAATATTTTCGCTACATAGATGGAATTGAACGTGAATTGCGTGGATGCATTTGCAACATCAGAAAATGTATTCGACTCTGCTGTCCATATGGACCATTTACAACAAGCATGAGAATGAAAAAGGTGAAATGCCAAGCTAACGAAAAAGCACGGAATTTCCAGGCCGAGGAGCGTGATGAAAATGGTCAAACAAAAATTCAAAATTTAGATCAGCATTTCGGATACGTCGATCGTATTTGCAAAGTGCATTACAGGCCGGAGCCGGAAGACTTTGTCATTACACATGTAAGAAGTGATCATGCTTGACTTGAAAGATCAAGATCAACATCAAATTATAACTCAATGAAGAACTATTTCATTCACTCAGTTGAAGACAGGAGACCAAGGGGCGAATTCCTACTGAAAACCGGTTTTCAGTACTTTTGAGTACCTGCGAACGATTTTCAGTAGCGGTTCAGTTTTTTCAGTACTTAGTAAATATATGACTTTTATTGCAGTTCAGTATTGTCAAAATTTCTTGGCACTTGTGTTTAATGTTTGTTTTCTAGCATTCGAAATGGACGTATTTGATCAAAAATAAAGTCCACTTATATTTGAATTAGAAATGTCTAAAGACACAATAAAGGAGCTGACATCAGAAAAGAGTGATTTATGTCGAAAATATATGTCTGGCAATTTTCGTCGAATGAAAATTTCTATGACATTGTTGTGTGTATCATCAACTCCTAGAAATGTCAGTGCATCTCTGAAACCACGAAGACTAAAACCAAACAAAACAAGAATGCATTTTTTACACAAATGTTTTTCGGCGTATTTTTATTTCCAAACTAC